CTCTAGTTTTTCAATGGTAAATAATAATTTATTTATTTGACTAGTCATATGACCATTTTAAAATACAACACAAATAAAATACAAGGCAAAAAGGAGACAATTGAACCTACTGATGCCTCAATTAATGGAATTTTATTGGTAGCAATTTTTATTTTGAAATTTATATATTCATTTATTTATTTACGACATTTATATGCCGCCCTTCTCACCCCGAAGAGGACTCAGAGCGGCTTACAAGATATATATACATACAATATATTATTAGCATGGTACAATATTGGTATTATATATTACTCTATTGTACTATACCATTATTTATCAGTAGGTGCTGCATTTCCCACTCCTGGCTTATACTTGAGTCGATAGGTTTTCCCAGATTTTGTGGTAAAATCAGGGGCCTCGGCTTATATCCAGATCGGCTTACACTTGAGTATATACAGTAATCCTTGATTTTAAGTGGGAGGTTTTCTTTTAGTGTTTTCCTGTGCCATTTGTCTAAAACACCTCCTCCCAAATACTGCTGAATCCACCATTTTCCCTCAAATGGATTGTGTCCTGCTCTAGCACTGAGTCATCTGGGCCTATGAAATATGAAACCTGCAAAGTGTGTTGGCATTTTCACTTTTTAGTTATGAATACTCCATGCTGCATAATTCTTTTTTTTAACTTTGTCAGCGTCTCTTTCCTTTAATGTGTTGCGGGGGGGACGGGACCCTGCAACCTTTCATTCCCGTCCCACCGGCTGAGCCCTGGGGAGGAAAGGAGGCCACTGAAATCGATGCCTCTCTATCTCTCTCTCTCTCTCTCTCTCTCTCTCTCTCTCTCTCGTTGGAGGGGATTAGCGATGGGCCCAGGAGGAGCACTTCTGCTCCTTTGTGCCATTCAGCAGCCCTCCGGCTTCAGTGCTGGGCTAAGCATTTTCCGGACTGATGAGCTGTGAAAGCCTTGCTTACCTGCAGCCTCCTTCCCAGTCCCCCACAAAGCTGCCAGTTCAGACTTCCAGGTTTCTTGACATCAGGATCCAACTCAGGAGCGGCCAAACAAAGGCAGCTCTCGCTTCAAATCAGAGCCCACTTGGGCCCAAACCAGAGAAGGCATCCAGTACAAAAAAAGGAACATCCTTCAAGGGATGGGAGGAAGGAAAAAGAGGGCCAGGCTGTGCCTAAAAGCTCTGTACAAACAATCATTCTTTTGATGTATTGGCGAAGGCTTTCATGGCTGAAACCACTGGGTTGTTGTAGGTTTTTCGGGCTATATGGCCATGTTCTAGAAGCATTCTCTCCTGACTTTTCACCTGCATCTATGGCAAGCATCCTCAGAGGTTGTGACCTCACTTGTCTTGACTCTCATGGCTTGTTCTCGGTCTTGCATCCCTTCTTCAAGCTTCCACTAGTTATTTGTTATGTATATAATTGCTTACTGTATTGTTTATGTGTATATTGGTTTGCAGTTTTTATTTACCTCTTCAGACCATGTGATCAGAACTGGGCTTATTCAGGACTCAGACTCCATTTTAGAACAGTGTGCTTCAGATTTCAGTAGGAGCTGTATGTTTTAGACTCCATTGGACTTTCAGACTAGACAGAGACTCTTACCCTCAGAATAGAAAGATGCTTTGAACTATAGACTGTTGATTCTATGAAATGGTGCCCTCTGTTACCTACACAGAGGAACTACTTCAAATCTATTTGTAAATGGATTGATATGCTAAGTACCATTATGCTGAATCCATTAAGTCTGTGAGTAAACCAACTGTTTTACTTTTAAAGAAGTGTGCTTATTTTTCTCTCTTGAGAGCGTGATTTAAAGATAACTGTATTTTAAGGGAGAGTAGATGTTTTGGGCCACTAAAAGAACACTACTGAAACTCTGCTATATATGTGTGGGTGGGTGTTTTTTTGTGCATTGGCATATCTTTGTTCCTAACAGTTCAAAGACATACCTAGGTAAATCAGTTTAACAGTCGAGAAACCTAATTGCCTCTCAGAATAGACAAGTGCCTGGAGACAGAAATAATCCGACACTGTGTTGGGGTGTATTTGTGGAAGGGAGGGCACAAAACAAAGGTGCTGCTGCCAAATAAGGATGATGCTGCCACAAAGGAAGTCTCCAGATTATGAACACAGATACTATCCTGCCCATTTTCTGAAACCAATTCTCTGTGCTTTGTCCAGGCAAAAGACCAGCTCAACAACGCCTTGCAGCTCAACCGCCATGACCTGACATACATGATGCTGGGGAAAATCCACTTATTGGAGGGGAATAAGGATGAAGCCATTGAAGTTTACAAGAAAGCAGTCGAGTAAGACCCTCTCTTTTGCTGAGAAGGGAAGAGATCTTGTGTGGAGCAATTGAGCTGGAAAGCATTGGGGAAACCTCTCTTGCTCCTCTCCAGCCACCTTGGGTGTTGCTTATTTTATTCCACTTACGTCTTGCATTTCTCCCACCATTGGACTCATGACAGGAGCGGAATTCAAAATGATCTGAACAGATTAGGGACATGATGGGCCAAAACTAACAAAATGAAGTTCAACAGGGACAAATGCAAGAGACTCCACTTAGAGAAAAAAAAGGCAAAGAGACAGAACGGGGGATGCATGGCTCGAGAGCAGGACGTGTGGAAAAGATCTTGGAATCCTCATGGGGTGAAAGGGGGACATGAGCCAACAATGTGATGCTGCAGATAAACAAGCCAATGGGATTTTGGCCTGCATCAATAGGAATCATACTCCCCATGTTCTATTCTGCCTTGGTCAGACCACACCTGGAATCACACTGTGTCCAATTCTGGGCACCACAATTAAAGGGAGATATTGATAAACTGGAATGCTGTGTCCAGAGGAAGGCGACTCAAATGGTCAAGGGTCTGAATAACAAGCCCTATGAGGAGCAGCTTAAAGAGATGGGCATGCTTAGCCTGAAGAAGAGAAGGCTGAGAGGAGGCACGATGAGGGCCATGTATAAATATGTGAGGGGAAGTCACAGGGAGAGGGAGCAAGCTTGTTTTCTGCTGCTCTGGAACAACTACAAGAAAGGAGATTCCACCTGATAGGAAGAACTTCCTGACTGTGAGAGCTGTTCAGCAGTGGAACTCTCTGCCCCAGAGTGTGGTGGAGGCTCCTTCTTTGGAAGCTTTTAAACAGAGGCTGGATGGCCATCTGTCGGGGGTGCTTTGAATGCAATTTTCCTGCTTCTTGGCAGAATGGGGTTGGACTGGATGGCTCACGAGGTCTTTTCCAACTCTAGGATTCCATGATTCATATGTATGTATTTCAGGTTCTCTCCAGAAAACACGGAGCTGCTTACCACCTTGGGCTTGCTGTACCTGGAGGTAGGGGAGTCGATTCATTGCGTTGCTTTTCAATGAGGTCCGGCATCTTAGAAGTTCAAATCCCAAATCTAAAATCCCATCAGGCAAAATGGAGCTGACCCTTCTCCGTAAACTGTTTGAAGCCATTGAGGGAAGAAACTTTACCCTGTACCCATGAACCTGGTCTAGCGAGTCAATAGCCTATGCCCTTGTTATAATAATAATAATAATAATAATAATAATAATAATAATAATAATAATAATATCCGGTATATAGATCTCGTTTGCTGTGACATACTGTGCTTTTGTGTCAATAATAATAACAATAATATAGATAGATAGATAGAAAGATAGATAGTAAGTATAATAAAATACTTGGCTTTGTAAGGTGACGGAATTGCAGAACTATTAAATAACAAAGCCTGAGTGGCGGGACTGGGGGGCGAGGAGAATCAGAAATAACTTGAAAGAGATCAGACCCTGATTCTGACCCTTCAGAAGCCTGGCCTTTCAAAGCTCCCGCGGCCCCCTTTTCTCCCAAATTAGCGCCCAGCTCCGTGCTGCTTTGAGAGAGACAATGACCTTGGCATAGAAGCGATCTCAAGAACCTCAGAGCCACACCGGGGCCGACTGATCAAAAGCAAGAGGGGCAGCTTATAATACAGTCATTTCCGAAGAATTTGTCCGCAGGAAGGCTTTAGTTTTTCCGAACTTTTTCCGAGATTGCTCAAAGGGAGGGGGACAATATCATACTCTTTGCTCTTTCACTGACTTGCGACAGACGGAAGGAGCATCAAATTAATTCCATAATCAGCTCAGCACACGCATTGTTGGCTGGGTTTTGTTTGTCACAGAGAGTGGATTTCTGAATTTGGGGTAGGTGGGTTTAACCTTCTGGATTTCCCAGTTCCAGAATTTGCAGCTTTCAGCAAAGTTGTGTGTCTGAAGAGCTTTGTGTAGTGTATCTTAGAGCAGTGTGATTCAGGGCCGAGGGAGAAAATACAGAGTAATGCAGGAAACGATGTCTGCCCTGGATTGTTGTAGGTTTTTCAGGCTGTCGGGCTGTGTTCCAGAAGCATTCTCTCTTGACGTTTCACCTTCATCTATGGCAGGCTTCCTCAGAGGTTGGAAACTCAGGAAGTGAGGTTTATATATCTGTGGAATGTCCAGGGTGGGAGAAAGAACTCCTGTCTGTTGGAGGCAGGTGTGAATGTTGCAATTGGCCAGATTAGGTAAAGGTAAAGGTTATCCCCAGACATTAATTCCAGTTGTCTCCGACTCTGGGACTCTGATGCTCATCTCCATTTCTAAGCTGAAGAGCCGGCGTTGTCTGTAGACACCTCCAAGGTCATGTGGCCAGCATGACTGCATGGAGCGCCGTTCCCTTCCCGCCAGAGTGGTACCTATTGATCTACTCACATTTGCATGTTTTCGAATTGCTAGCTTGGCAAAAACTGGAACTGACAGCGGAAGCTCATGCCACTCCCCAGATTTGAACCTGCGACCTTTTGGTCAGCAGTTTAACACCACTGGGGGCTCCCGGTGGTGCAGTGGGTTAAACCCCTGTGCTGGCAGGACTGAAGACCGACGGGTCGCAGGTTCAAATCCGGGGAGAGGTGGATGAGCTCGCTCTATCAGCTCCAGCTCCTCATGCGGGGATATGAGAGAAGCCTCCCACAAGGATGATAAAAACATCAAAAATCATCCAGGCGTCTCCTGGGCAACGTCCTTGCAGATGTCCAATTCTCTCACACCAGAAGCGACTTGCAGTTTCTCAGGTCGCTCCTGACATGACAAAAAAAACCGGGGGCGCCAACTTGAGTAGCATTAAATGGCCTTGTAGCCTCAAAGCCTGGCTGGTTGCTGCCTGTGGATTGTCCAGGATGGGAGAAAGAACTCTTGTCTGTTGAAAGCAAGTGTGAGTCTTGCAATGAATCATCTTGATTAGCATTGCAAAGCCCTGCAGCTTCAAGACCATGTTGATTCCTGCCTGGGAGATGAACCAACCTGGACACAGCATATTATTTGAGAACACAGAAATGCTGGACCACTCTCACAACCACCATGTCAGACAACATAGAGAAGCCATTGAAATCCACAAGCGTGCGGACAATTTCAACAGAAAGGAAGAAACCATGAAAATGAAGAAAATTTGGCAACCAGTATTTTAAAAACTCTAAAATCAGTAAATAAAGAACAACACTCAAAAACGGAAATTCCAGATAGGAAATAATCAGGGCAGGCTAACACCTCCTAACAAAGGATTTCCCCAGGCAGGAAGCAGCCAGGCTTTGAAGCTGCAAGACTATTCAATGCTAATCAAGGTGGCCAATTGCAACATTCACACTTGCCTCCAAGACAAGAGTTCTTTCTCCCACCCTGGACATTATTCCACAGATATATAAACCTCACTTGCTTAGTTTCCAACAGACCTCACAACCTCTGAGGATGCCTGCCATAGATGTGGGTGAAACGTCAGGAGAGAATGCTTCTGGAACATGGCCAGACATCCTGGAAAAGTCAAAGCAACTCAGCAATTCTGGCCATGAAAGCCTTCGACAACACAATGTCTCGCCTTCTCAGGGCCCTTCCACACAGCCATATAACCCAGAATATCACGGCAGAAAAATCCCACAATATCCACTTTGAACTGGGTTATCTGAGTCCACATTGCCATATATTCCTTATGTGGAAGGGGCCTCAGTGGGGAATCCTGTGCAGGGCTATAAAGATGTGAGCCCAAGTACCACTCACTCACTTCTGAGGCCTTTGAGAAGAAAGGCAGTCACCAGGGTAAAGAAAGTGAAACGACGTCTTCTGCTGATCCCCAGCAAACGTGAAATGTGTACAACTCACATTCTAGTTATGAAAACCAGAGGGAGCAGCGGGTCACTGCTGCCAGGTAGCTGTAATCTTTGATGCTGCGGGGAGTTTGGAAACATCCGTAGCCCTGCCATCTGGGGAACTGCAGGAGCTGGAGTCCAAGTACTTACATTTCCCAAGCTGTACTCGCGGGAGCATGTCATGGGAAACAGCTCTTTTTTCATATAATGTGATACATTTATTGTACATTATTTTCCTCTTGATCCCTTCTTTTGCTCTTTGCTTAGCGCGAGGATTATCAGAAAGCCTTTGAGCATCTTGGGAATGCGCTCACATACGATCCCAGCAACTATAAGGTACTTTGAAGAAGAACACTGCATTGTTAATTGAAAGAGAGAGGGAGAGAAATATCTGCTAACCTGAGCTGTTTGAAAGTCAGTAAAGTACGACGACTCCTGAATCTGAAAAACATGGCTAATAGTAAATCCTACTGAAATGCAGGACTTCTGCCCCAAGAATGCCATGGTCATGTTGCAGAACCTTGAAGATGCCTAGATAGGACATATTTGGTTCATTGTGGATTATTGTTTATGTTTTTATTTATTATTTATTTATTTACAGCTTTTATATTCCGCCCTTCTCACCCCGCAGGGTGGATTACAGTGTACACATATATGGCAAACATTCAATGCCAATTTTTGACATACAAACATATACAGACATACACAGAGGCTATTTAACTTTTTCTGGCCGCCAGGGGAGCTGTCGCTTTCATCGTCCATCTGCGACGCTGATGAAGCACTTCCGCATTCCCCGCATGCTTCCCCGCTGGAATGCTTTGCTGGATTCTTCTTTATGGCCTCATAAATCAGTTAATTTAGCCTCCCCACACTTTAAGGTGGTACCTAATTTTCCTACTTGACAGATGCAACTGTCTTTCGGGTTGCAAAGGTCGACAACAGGCTACACACAATTGGTTGGAAACCCACTCCAACCCGGGCTGGCTTCGAACTCATGACCTTTTGGTCAGAGTGATCTTAATGCAGCTGACACTCAGCCAGCTGAGCCACAATCCCGGTTTTTGCTTTGTTTATGAGTTTTTCTTTTTATTATTGTACTGTTGTTGTGTTTTACTGATGTATTTGGGCTCGGCCCCTTGTAAGGCGCACCGAGTCCTTTGTGAGGGTTGTTGTTGTTGTTCATTCGTTCAGTCGTCTCCGACTCTTCGTGACCTCATGGACCAGCCTACGCCAGAGCTCCCTGTTGGCCGTTACCACCCCCAGCTCCCTCAAGGTCAGTCCAGTCACTTCAAGGATGCCGTCCATCCATCTTGCCCTTGGTCGGCCCCTCTTCCTTTTGCCTTCCACTTTCCCCAGCATAATTGTCTGGGAGATGGTAGCGGGGTATAAATAAAGGTTTATTATTATTATTATTAAATGTTTATGTTTGGAAATGGTAACCAAAAAAAAAACAATGATTTATTATTTGTTATTATTATTTCCAGTATTTCTACCCTGTTCTTCTCAAACCCGAAAGAGTTACTCAGGACAGCTTACATTTGCAGTAATTTGATGCCACTACGTATAATCCAAACAATATAAAAAACAGCCAAAACAATAAATAGAACATTAATTAAAACAATAAATCAAAAGCTATATCACCATTCCAGTCAAATTCCATATCCAAAGTGCCGTTTATGCTATTATGATAACCTGTTGGAAAGTAGTGAAATATTATAGATCACTTATATCAGTGTTTCTCAACATTCCTAATGCCGCGACCCCTTAATCCAGTTCCTCACTTTGTGGTGACCCCCAACCATAACATTATTTTCCTTGCTACTTCATAACTAATTTTGCTACTGTTATGAATCATAATGTAAATATCTGACAGGCAGGAGGAGGCCATAAACAGAGAGCACAAATACCCAATATGCCCAAATTTGAATACTGGTGGGGTTGGGGGGTTGATTTTGTCATTTGGGAGTTGTAGTTGCTGGGATTTATAGTTCACCTACAATCAAAGAGAATTCTGAACTCCACCAATGATGGAATTGAACCAAACTTGGCCCACAGAACTCCCATGACTAACAAAAAATACTGGAAGGGTTTGGTGGGCATTGACCTTGAGTTTTGGAGTTGTAGTTCACCTACATCCAGAGAACTGTGGACTCAAACAATGATGGATCTGGATCAAACTTGGCACAAATACTCAATATGCCCAAATGTGAACACTGGTGGAGTTTGGGGGAAATAGACCTTGACATTTGGGAGTTGTAGTTGCTGGGATTTATAGTTCACCTACAATCAAAGAGCATTCTGAACTCCACCATGATAGAATTGAACCAAACTTGACACACAGAACTCCCATGACCAACAGACAATACTGGAAGGTGGGCATTGACCTTGGGTTTTGGTGGGCATTGACCTTGAGTTTTGGAGTTGTAGTTCACCTCTATCCAGAGAGCACTGTGGACTCAAACAATGATGGATCTGGACCAAAATTGGCACAAATACTCAATATGCCCAAATGTGAACACTGGTGGAGGGTGGGGGAAATAGGCTTGACATTTGGGAGTTGTAGTTCCTGGGATTTATAGTTCACCTACAATCTAAGAGCATTCTGAACCCCACCAATGATAGAATTGGGCCAATCTTCCCACACCAACAGAAAATACTGTGTTTTCTGATGGTCTTTGGGGACCCCTCTGACACACCCTCATGACCTCCCCAGGGGTCCCAACCCTCAGGTTGAGAAACACTGAATTATATCAACTTGTGCTTCTTTGAGATGTCTCCAATCGTAGCAAAATGTTTCTCCATTTGGTGTTTTGAAAATGTACTGTATTTACCCTGTATTTACTTTATTGCATGTAGAAAGCCAGCTAAAAGTGAATTATTTGTTCTTAAAGGCCATCTTGGCAGCCGGTAGCATGATGCAGACGCATGGAGACTTCGACGTGGCCCTCACCAAGTACCGGGTGGTGGCGTGTGCGGTGCCTGAAAGCCCCCCACTCTGGAACAACATCGGAATGTGCTTCTTTGGCAAAAAGAAATACGTTGCGGTATGTGTGCGCATGCGCATGGTGTCCTTTGCCTGCTCTTCACATTATTTTGACCAGGAATGATCATCTTGGGCTTACTTGTTGTTCTTTCCAACCCACTCCTTTTCCCAGGCCCCTCTGGCATAGAGAGAGGAGGGGTTTCTGCACCACTGTTTGTTGGAAGGTGTGCCGCAGTGACATCCTTAGCTCCATTCCCGAGGCAGCGATCTTAGGCTGGCCTCTCTTTTCTTGAGCAGAGCTCTGTTTCCTTGCAGGCCATCAGCTGCCTGAAACGGGCCAACTACCTGGCACCCTTTGACTGGAAGATCCTCTACAACCTTGGCCTGGTCCACCTGACTATGCAGCAATACGCCTCCGCTTTCCACTTTGTCAGTGCGGCCGTCCACCTCCAGCCAAAGTTGGCAGAACTCTACATGTTGTTAGCAGGTACACTGACCCTTTTGCCTAGTGATGGCCATGAAGATAGGGCTGATAATGGGCAGCAAAGGTTCCCTCCCTCGCTGAGGCAACCAGAATGGATTATGTTAAAGTTTAGGTATGTCGAGTTCTTGATATTAATGATACAGTCCCTCCCTGGAAGAATCCATACAAGTTATTATTACTGTTTTATAGATTATGTATTTGAGTCTGTGACTTGAAGGCAGCTCTAGCTTCTGATAAAATGAACATGAATGGAGTCCCTTCTAGCCAGATCTCGACTTCCTGTCTTGATTGGCAGACTTATTCAAGTTACATCATTGTAATTTGAATAAGCCAATATGATCTGCTTGGGTGGTTGGATGGCCATCTCTAGGGAGTGTTTTAATTGTGTCTACTTGCGTGGCAGGGGGTTGGATTGGATGGCCCTTGGGGGTCTTGTGATGCTATGATTCTGTGGCTCTCAATCTTCACCCATTGAGAAGTGATGGACTTCAAACACAGAATCCCAAACCATCAGCTATGCTAGGTGGGGCTTCTAGCAGTTAAAACCCAAACATCTGGAGCAGGAATGGGCAAACCCAGACCCAGGGGCCAGATCCAACCCCTTGGGCTCTTTTCTCAGGCCCTCCTCTCTCTCACCATCCTATCCTTCCTTTTCTCTTTCCTGCTTCCTTTTCCCTCTTTCTCCCTCCCTTCCACCTCCCTTTCTCTTCTTCCTCTCTCCCTCTTTCTCCTTCCTTCCCTTTCCTTTCCTTCTTACTTTCTTTCTCTCTCCTTCCTCCCTCCCTCCCTTCCTTCCTCCTACCATCTCCTTCCTTCCTTCCCTCCTCCCTCTTTCTCTTTTGTCCTTCCCTCCCTTTTGCCTTTCCTTCCTTCTCTCTTTCCTTCCTGCTTGCCTCCCTCCGTTCCCTCCCTATTTCTGCTTCCATCCTTTCCTTCCACCCTTTCATCGCTTCTTCCCTCTTTCCTCCCTCTCTCCGTCTTTCTTCTTTCCCTTTTGTCCGTTCAGTCTTTCCTTCCTCCTTCCCTTCCCTTCTTTCCTTCTCTTTCCTTTCCTCCTTCCATCCTTCCCTTCCTCTCCTTTTGTCCTTCTCTCCCTTTCTGATTCAATCCTTCCTTCCAAACATAGCTGTTCCATCTTTATTCTTGCAATATTGTAGAAGGAGCTTCAAGCTAAACTGCATCAACTCACCTACAGATATTAATTCATTCACTTAATTCATTCTCTCATACAAGAATGATAATTTACAAACGTTTTCTCCCCTGCTTCCTGAAATAAGAAGCATTTTTCCGCATTCTATTTCTTTTCTTTTGCAATTTGGGACTTTTAACTTCCCTTCCACCCTTTAATCCTTCCTTCCTTCCCTCTTTACTCTCTCCCTCCTTCCCTCTTTCTCCTTCCATCCTTCCCTTCCTTCCCTTTTGTCCTTCCTTCCTTCTCTCTTTCCTTCCTCGTTCCTTTCCTTCCATCACCGGACAGCCAGTCCTCCTAGCAGGGAGTGCTAGCATGCGGCCTCCAAGTTAGAAAGTTTGTCCATGCCTGATCTGGAGTGGCAAAGATTGAGAACTTCTGGATCTCCTCTACTTGACAGTGGCTCTCTAATATCTCCGCTTAAGCATCTTCCCCATTGCCTACTGGCCAGGCAAGTCAATCGGAGATGGCAGTGATTGAACCTGGGGCCATCTGCCAGAGAGTCCTGCGTTCTGCCATTGAGCTTTGGCTCTTCATCTGCTGCTCTTTCCTACTTTTCTCTTATCTCAAGAAGGGCTTCGTATTCCCATCAGAGCTCCACTTTACTGCATTGTAGCGCCTAAGAGGCAGACCTGTGAGATGAGGCTTTGAATTATGTGTTTCTCCACAAAGCCAAAGGAAATCACTACCATTCTTCTTTTCCTAATGCAGTTGCTTTGACAAATCTTGAAGATGCCGAGAATGCCAAACTAGCCTACCAAAAAGCTTCAGCGCTGGACACGTACGTTTTGGTGGTGGTGGTGGTGGGCTTTTCTTTATTTGAGGCATTGCAAGGAACTTTTAATGCCTGTGTATTTGGTCAGGATTATACCAGTGTAAGACGAGTGGCACAGTGGGTTAAACTGCTGAGCTGCTGAACCTGCTTAACGAAAGGTCACCGGTTCGAATCTAGGGAGCGGGGTGAGCTCCCGCTGTTAGCCCTAGCTTCTGCCAACCTAGAAGTTCAAAAATATGCAAATCAATAGGTACCAATCTGCCAGGAAGGTAATGGCGCTCCATGCAGTCATGCAGGCCACATGACCTTGGAGGTGTCTATGGACAACGCTGGCTCTTCAGCTTAGAAATGGAGATGAGCACCAACCCCCAGAGTCGGACACGACTAGATTTAATGTCAGGGGAAAACCTTTACCTTTAAAATGAGAGATAGGATACTTTTCGCATGTATTTTACTTGAATGACAGCATATAATATACACTTGCTTGGAATAGGACATGCAAGACTCCCAGAAGCTGGCTGTTTGCAATGTCCAGGATTCTGCCAAATTCGGGATGCTTTGCCCTCCATAGTAAAATATTCTAGAATTCAGTACTTGATGTACCTTCAATGCAAGGAGTGTAGTAGGAGTTTCAAAACCAGCTAGAAATTTCTTGAGGTTGGAAAAAAAACAAGTGTTGAAAGATAGAAAGTGGTAAATTACAACACAGGAACCGAGACTTGTTTACGCAGCAGTCAAATTCTTGCCTTTCAACCACGGAGGTCATTTTACTCAAGACTTACTCTCCTCCTGATGCAAGCTGCTAAACTCGAAGGGCATTGCATGGGGTCTGTCACTTCCCAACTTGAGGATGCCGCCTGCGGTGCTGGGCCCAGTGCATCCAAGATGCTCATAAAAAGCAACTCTTTCACTGAGAAAAGCACCCTCTAGCTTTGGAGATAAATTATCATCTGCAGAAAGCCTCTGATCTTAGAGATTATCTGGAAGAGACTTTGCAGATTACACTCTGTGTAGCTTCTCTGTAACCTCTCCACATGTGCATTGTCTTTCATCTATTTTAAACATCGAGCATTATTTATTTTGTATGCCGTGTTGCATTCAGTCCTAAATGAGTGGGATTTGGCTTTGCAGAATCCTAATTATAGTAGGCCAGGTTCCAAGGCAGCTCTGCAGTGGGGTCTCACGTGTGTTCCAACCCACAGTGTTTGGTGGCAACTTGTAAATTCACTTCTTTTGAGACCAGCGCCATGTATATTTGTCTTTGGCTTGATCCTATTCAATTGTGTTTTCTGTCTCTTTGGGATTTCAGGTGCAACCCTCTGATAAATCTCAACTATGCCATCCTCCTCTGCAACCAAGGGGACAAGAAGGAGGCCACTGTCCAGTACTATGAGATGAAGAAAAAGGTCCAGGCGTCAAAGGAGGGCACTGTCGAGTTTGATCCTGAGGTATGTTAGAAATCTAGATAAGTAAATGTAATGTTCATTTGTGGGATTAACATCACTGAAAAACCACTGGACGAATTGACACCAAATTTGGATACCAGACAACAAGTGACCTTCACTCATAAAAACTCTGAAAAATACAGCAGAAGAGACTTAAAAAGCCAAAATACAAAAATTACATTACAACGCATGTGCAAAACCACACTTGTACACAAACACACATATATACACATGTACACAAATATATACAGAAATATATACACACATATATGCACTCACAAATACCTATACAGAAAGGGGGAAGGAAGGAAGGAAGGAAGGAAGGAAGGAAGGAAGGAAGGAAGGAAGGAAGGAAGGAAGGAAGGAAGGAAGGAGAGAAGGAGGGAGAAAAAGAGGGAAACAAGGAGGAAAGGAGAAAAGGAAAGAAAGCTAGAGAAGGAAGGAAGGAGAGAAGGAGGGAGAGAAAGGAGAAAAGGAGAAAAGGAAAGAAAGAAAGTTAGAGAAGGAAGGAAGGAGAGAAGGAGGGAGATAAAGGAGAAAAGGAAAGAAAGAAAGGTAGAGAAGGAAGGAAGGAGAGGAGGGAGAGAAAGGAGGAAAGGAGAAAAGGAAAGAAAGAAAGTTAGAGAAGGAAGGAAGGAGAGAAGAAACGAAAGAAAGAGGGAGGGGAGGAAGGAAGGAAAGAGACAAGGAAGGATGGAACCAAAGAGCAAAGGAAGCGAGAGAAAAAACAGGTAGAGAAGGAAGAAATAAGAAGGGAAAGAAAAAGAGGGAAGGAAGGAAAGAGGAGGGAAGGAAGGAGAGAAAGAAAGAAGGAGGGAAAGAGGGAGGGAAGGCCGGCGACAGCAACGCATGGCGAGTACAGCTAGTATTGTAAATAAATATGTTGGTATAATGGGCTGATCACACTCCAGGTAGCGGTGTATCAGGTTCAGCTTCATGCCTGGGGGCAAGTCAGGTTCAATCAGAGAAGTATTTCTATGAGAGCAGTAATGTTCATTCTATAGAACTCCACAAATGTTCATCTTTCTTCCTCCTCCTTCCTTCCTCATTTGGTAGATGGTGGACCTAGCCCAGAGACTGGGGGCTGCTTTGCAGCTTGGAGAGGTCGCAGTGTGGACTAAACCTTCAAAAGACTCCAAATCGAAGCCTCGGGGGAGTGCCTCGGGAAAATCTTCCAGTGCACAGCCTTTGGGCTCCAACCAAGCCCTGGGCAAGGCTATGTCTTCTGCCGCTGGGTACGCAAAGACCATGATCCAAGGTATGCCAGTCTGTACTACATCTCTGTGTGGCCAAAGTCAAGCTAATTTCTTCATTGTCTGAATATTAGGAGAGAGTCAGACAAATGGGAGCTGTGTGGTGGCATCTGAAGGGACTGGTGCTTTGCCTCAATGTAAACTCATGGTTGGGAGGTTTCTCTAAAAGAGTGGTTCTTAAGCTGTGGGCCGCGGACCACCAGTGGGCCACGAGGAGAAAAATCTAGTCCATGAGTCCCCTTCCTCTTTATTTCCACTCCTTTTGTGCCACTTGACACTCCTTCCCTGTCGCTGACCATGACATATGTTCTGTATCAGAAACTAGAGCTGATGTGGTATATCCAATGCAATTTTCTGAATCAGCACCCCAAACTGAATCTAAAGTTGACTAAAAACTGATTAGTAACCCTTTCGGTACTAATGTTGGAGAGTGGTCCCTGGTCAAGTGTTTTCTGGTCAAAGAGGTCGCTGGTCAAAGAGGTTCTTGGTCGAGGTGGTCGCTAGTCAAAGAGGTTCCTGGTCAAAATGGTCCCTGGTAGAGGTGGTCGCTGGTCAAAGAGGTCCCTGGTCAAAGAGGTCCCTGGTCAAAGTGGTCCCTGGTTAAAAAAGGTTGGGAACCACTGCTCTAAAAGGTGAAGCAACTTTGCCTGAGTCACAGAAAGCCTCCTCAAAAAATCAAGTTATTAAAAGCGTGGATAGGCACAGTCATCAGGATGTCCCTGGGTAATAAATAAATAAATTGGAAGCGGTGACATCTTTGATTTTAGGAAAAGGTATCTGCTGTACGGTAATCATACAGGAAGCAGTGTAGAAATTCTCAAGTGAGCAGACCTCAGATATTTCACCACTTGTCTCTTAACGCAGAAGCTCTCGCTGCTGTTCGAAGATCTTATTTCAGGGTTTCTGCTTATGCTCTTCCTCCAGGTTCTGGAAATTCGACTCAAACGGCAAAAGTTCCTTCCCTGCCCCTGGAGCCTAAGCCCAACTCAGAGCCCGATGCTGAGGAAGCCATAGAAGAGTCGGAGCAAAGTGAGTCAAGCCAGGCAGCAGGCCAAGGCAAGGACCCTTGAAACCTCCATTGCCTCTAGAGTTGCACAGCCCTCACCAGCTAGGCTTCTTAGGTATCGTCACTAGACGTAGCATCCCACAAACCTTGCTGCAGTGCAAGGTGGAGTGCGCCAGTCCTCCTGTCCCTCCAAACAGAACGGTTGGGGATTGTTTGTGAAGCCTACTTTCTTCAGCTTTCCATGCATAGGTACTTTCAAGATGCCATCAATATTTCTGAAGGAGACTACCTTTCTGCATTGAGAGAAAACCTTGGGTTATACTCAACAACCCCCCTGTGCGCTGCAGATGGGAGATTGCATCCTTCTCAGGCGGATCGGACTAACCTTTTCATAATTCATCTGAATTACCAGACAGATGTTAATGGCTGGAGGCCAGTATGAGGCAGCTGTTGTAACCCTCAAAGCAATGACTTGTTCAGCACTGTGCAATTTGGATTTGATCCAGCTACAAATATTTTTGCAGCAGCCCTGTTTTCTGCTGCTACTTTGTACACTTAGAGGGATTTAGCTGGTGATTCAGATAGCTTCCTAGTAATTGGGAAGATGTAGCAGTGGAGCAATTCAACAGAAGAGAACTCCTTTGTATACTGAGGGAGCTTTCATACCTATAAAATAGTTAATAAATAGTTGGAAAGATCTTCTACATTTTACTTCCCTGATGTGGTACTGAATTCTTATATAGTGTGGATTGGGGAGGAATAGTTCCTGTAAATGTTGGGGCTTTTCTGTTTCGGAACTTCATACCTTGTAGATGACAACTGCAAGATACTCCACTTAGGCAGGACAAAAGAAATTCAGATACAGAAAGTGGGACCTTGCCTGGCTTGGCAGCAGTATGTGTGAAAAAGATCTTGGAGTCTTCTTGGATAAGTTAAACATGAGCCAACAATGTGATGCAGCAGCAAAAAAAGTCAATAGGATTTTGCCCTGCATCAATAGGAGTCTAATGTCTAGATCCAGGGAAGTCATGCTACCCATGTTCTATTCTGCCTTTGACTGACCACACCTGGAATCACACTGTGTCCAATTCCAGGCACCACAATTGAAGGGAGACGTTGACAAGCTGGAAGGTGACCAAAAGGTGACTCAAAGGATGAAGGGTCTGGAGAACAAGCCCTATGAGGAGCGGCTTAAGGGTTAGGGTGAAGGCTCCTTCTTTGGAGACTTTTAAGTAGAGGTTGGATGGCCATCTGTGGGGGGTGTTTTGAATGCAATTTTCCTGCTTCTTGGCAGGAGGTTGCACTGGATGGCCCACCAGGCCTCTTCCAACTCTAGGATTCTATGACTGTTTCTGTGTCTGCATCCAGTCATGCTCCATCTATCTGCCTGCCTATCTATGTACCTATCTACCTATCTGGAAGAACCTGGAGACAACATTGGACCATTGTTGCATTCTGTCAAATGTAGCAATGGTCTAACTTTGTGTAAGGTATCTATCTTCTCACAGTTCTAAAATCATTGCTTTAGAAAGTTCCTCTTTTGGACTACGTGCAGAACAAGATACATCTTTGCCAAGCTGCGACTCATGTAGTTACACATTGAAAACTCCAAATAATGACAACCAAGGGATATCTTTCTAAATGCAAAACAACATTTAGTGAAAATGCCACCCACAGTACAGAATATTTTAAAATCATATACACAAACATGATACACTGTTCAGAAACAATTCTTATTTCATAGGAATACTACAGACAAAAATAATTTGGTAATAGATTTTCTTTAAAAACTATTTTAAAGTGTACTTTTTAGCTCTTCCAAATGTTGTCCAGTCTAGCCCTATTGTTATTTATGAAATCAGAACACAGACTGGAGCTTTCACATCACAGGTGACTGTCACAAGCAAATGCTATGGCAACTGCCAGTAAAACAGTAGATGCTGTATGTCTGCTTTGCCCAAGCAATATTGTTCTTAAATGACACCGTCCAGACCCACAGGTTAGATTCTTGGGCGACTCCCTGAGAACTCGTCAGCCAGAAAGATGTAGTAACCTGACAGCATAAGGAAGACATTGTATCATTTGGAAGAGCAAAAAGAGAACAAAAGCAGGAGTGTACTGTTCAATAAAAGCTTCAGTTAATATCCATAGGGTTTCAGCTATAGGGAGAATGTACTTGTTTCACTACTCTGCTTTGCACTAGGAAGGTACTAAGGACATTTTCACTCATTAGCACAAGGAAGGCCCTGGCACTGGGCAAATTGCTGTTTTAGTGGAAGCTGGGATTAGCTTGGGGTCAGGGGATTTGGCTCCTTCAGCAGCTGTGTTCTTCAAAAGTCTAATGAATTTTGTTGGTCCTGAAATCATTGGAGGCATAGTCCGAGTAATAAATACAACCAACCAAAATAAGACACCCAATACAGTGGGGAAAAGAGGGAAAGTCTCCAAGTGATCAGAAATACATTTTGAGAACTATATGTTCTGAATATCTTTTTACACAGAATTGTTTTCAACTCTGTTGTATCCCTCCAATGAAGGATGAGAAGCATGTGGCTTTCCAGATGATGCTGTATTGCAACCACAATCCATCTTAGCCAGCACATGGCATTTTGAGGGATCACGCAAGTTGCATTCAAACATCTGGGAGACCACCATCCTGGTCCAGTCACTTCCTGGCAAATGAGGTGGACGACAGTTACAGGTGTCACAAAGCCAGGCTCTGGTTTGTTGTGAATTTTCTGGGCTGTATGGCCTTGTTTCCAGAAGCATTCTCTCCTGATGTTTCACCTGCATCTATGGTAGGCATCCTCAGAGGTTGTGAGGTCTGTTGAGAACCACTGTTGAAAACCACTGTTCTAGGGAGTTCCAAAACTGTCTGTGCAGGAACAGGAGACCCATTTGTGCAGATCTCACAGGTGACCAGTCAAAGAAACATGGTTACAGGTAAGCAATCCATTTGTAGCATTAAAAAAAAGCCAAAACCCCTCAATTTTTCTAGGTTCTCTAATAGTGCAAAACATCAGTTTGGCATAAACATAAATATCTCATTTGGAGAAATCAATTAACAAAAATGTTACTCCAATGTAGTCCTGGAAATCCTCTTGACATTTTAAAATATTCTTTGATGCTGAAAAAGTCTGTAGATACTAGGTTAAGCAAGACGGTAAATGTTAACACCTTAAGAGCAGAAGATGCCTTATTTGACCAACGCTAATCCTGGCCTGACCGGCTTCCATCACAACCTTTTGGAACCCTGGGGCCTTGTACATCATTATTTGCAGCCATTTAAAAAACCTCACTACAACTTAAAGAGGTAGGTTAGGCTACAAAGAAAGGAGTCTCGTGACTAAGACCTTCTTGGGTCCTGTCTGAGCAGTCTGACGTGGATTCCCCTTTCCAAATCCCATGATTCAGCTAACAGCCACCAGATTTTGCCTTCACTCCAAAGTCCTATGTCACATCCTGCAGATTAATTCATTTCTATTGCTATGCGGCAGTACAAATAATAATAATAATAATAATAAAAGGAGTGGAATGCATGATTGAAGGAGAAAGTCTGAATACATGACAGTGCAAGACAATTTCCTGAGCTAGGAAGGAGAACTTCCTGTGGTCATATAAATTCACCAGAATCTCATGCTGTTGCAGCTGCCAAGAATAGCAGGGAGTACGGTTCTCAGATTTGCTCTCTGCTGAAAATGCTATAAAGATCCAAGGCTTCCTCAACACAATTTTGGCATTTTCCTAGATTGACTGCCATTTTTGCCACATTAGGTTTAGTGAGGAGCAGTAGTTGTACTGTAAATTATTCTCACTTCTTGTAAAGAGGGTCAGATCACTGCCTTAGGTATAAACACATCAGTTACTAACAGGTGGAATAATTTGGTACGCAACTTGCTTGCATTTGAAGTCGCTGTGTCAAATAACAAGAAGTAGATTCTTCTGGCAGTAGCATCAATCAATACAGGGAAGTACAAAATAAGCAAACAGACACTTGCTTATGAATTTGCTTGTACATTAAGGGCTGGGTGAACATGGGTTCACCCATTTCATTGTGGCCTCGTTTTCAGTAACAAACCAGATCTATGACCACATCTTTATGGCAGTAGCATCAATCAATACAGGGAAGTACTGTACAAAATAAGCAAACACCAGCCAAATGATAAGCAAATCTCATAAAGCAGTACCCTCGTTTCACTTCATTGGTCCAAAGCACCCACAGTTCAGCATATTCTGCAAACCATGAAAAAAAACAGACAATGCATTTCCCATTTCTAGAATTGGCAAAGCAAGCTCCGGTAATTTTTGCACAACGTAAGTGAATGGTAAATAGAAAAATATTGTTATCACACCTCTAACCAAACAAGCAAAAGGTTGGGTCTTGCTGCATTAGGAATATGACGCCACCTTTACTTTCCCCTTCCCAGAAAGAAGACAGAGCAAAGTACCAACATATATTCCCTGGAATAACTAGCTGATGGTCTAGCTTTCGCAGTCACTGCAAAGAAGACCTGCTTTCTTAAAGCAAAATTCGCTTTGGTTCACGGTGTCACTATAAGCCAAAGGTGGTCCCTCTATTCAATGGCACACCTTACCACGGAGTGATAGTCCTGCACCAACGCCCAGCAGGATCTGGTCTGTGCCTTGCTTTTATTCTTTGGTTCCCTGTATCACATACCGACTTCCAGTCCATGCCTGCATGGTTCAAATGTTTGTAGAGAGGTAAGTCGCGTCTCACTTTCTTAGGTTACTGAGAGTAGATTTCTGAATAAAGAAGTCCTTCTGCAGAAATGGCATCGCCAAGGCCAACGGTCCGCAGGGGGTCTTTGCACACCAGAACAGGAGTGTAATGGAATGTAACCCCATCTCTGTGCCATTCTGACACTGGTTCACTGGGATTTAAGGAGACTCTAGAGGCCTCCTCCGTCTTCGAAGTCTCAAACTCCAGCGGTGCCTTGAGGAAGACTCTGCTGGTATCAATTGTTTTGGTAGCACATGCTTGCACCCCTGCTGCTCTTGCGCCAGCGGCAACAGCGGCCACCTGGTTGACCCAATATCCATCCACAGTGGCTAGGACGTGATAGGCCAAGGTGTGAAAGTGGATCCGAGTCAGATCAGAGGCCTTCCTTGTAGTCCGTCCATGTTCCTTCAAGATCCAGAAAAGGATGTCACTGACGACACCCACATCTGGGATGCCGTTCCAGGATGCGAGGGAGGCGTGTGGTCCAGAAGCCGCCTGGGTGAGGAAGAGCAGCTCCTGCTCATTCAAGCCAATGGAGTCCACAAGAGGAAAGACCTGCTAACAGACAGAGGAAGTGAGAGCTTGGCTTCAGAGGAGATGAAGACAGAAGAGTCAAGTCTGACAAACAGAGATATGAAGCAGCATGTGCAAAGGGTATAAAAATGAGGCACTATGCTAGAGATTATGGTTGAATCTAGTCTCTTGAACCAAAATTTCTTGGACTAAAAGGACATCCTAAAGGGGATGCAAGTATCTCCATTTAATTAACATCAGTTATCAAGCGCTAATATTTTAATAGATTACAGAGTGCATTCTGCCATATTGATTACCTGATGTATGATCTCAGTCATGAGGTCTGGGTCAGTCATACTGGCCAGTTCCAAATGTACAGGGACATCAGAAGGAATGTCGGAGATGGAAGCCACAGCCTGCAGATACCAAGGGTGAAAAAATTTAACATACCAGAAGGCATTTACTACATATATAGTAATAAACGTGATCAGAATTGTCTTGTTAAAACTGTATTTGTTTTTACCAGTATTTGTCAGATATATTAAAAATTAACTAGGTATTTTTAATTACAAAAATGTGAGTCAAGCACTGAAAGGGTTAAATGGATGCAATGACTCAGCAAAAGCTGTAGTTCAATATAAGCTGGTGTGCCTGATGCTTAGTAATGCCTCAGTCTGAGAAAGCTCTCAGTGTGAGAGAAGCTTCTCTGTGAGAGAGAACGCCTTAGTGGGAGAATAGGTCTCAGTGGTAGTAGGCCTCACTGTGGGAGGAAGGCCTTAGTCTGTGAGAGAAGCCTGTGTGTGAGGTAAGCCTCAGTATGAGAAGGCCTCATGTGTGAAGCCCCACTGTGAAGGTTGAACATTATTTGTGTTATAGAAACCTTGTTGTTGTAAATAGTGCAACCATATTATTTTGTTATAAAGAAAAGCTTCCTAAGGAAGAGATAACATTGGTCTCTGTGTTTTATGTTCTTTTTATCACTTTGGGTTACTGGTGTTAGGTCATGCTGTTGCTAAGTTACTCTGCTGTACATTTATGAGGATGGTCTTTTGCTAATAAGCCCACTTGCCCAACAGTGTTGACAAAGATGTAGAACATACTATTAATAAATGAGGTCCGCAGGCAATCCTATGCACTTATCTGAGAGATTTGATTTAATAGGGCTTAATTCTTCTACCCAGACATATGGGACTACACTCTAGAAGAAGTCCAGTCACATGTTAGAGTGTCTCCTATGGAGGAAGAAAATGACTATGTTCCTCAATGACAGTAAAGATGGTTTTGTTCAGCATCCAGAGAAAACCCTGTGAAACTGGAATTCGGGACGAACAACAATGCTCTGGCCTTTACCTCTAAGAGTCTTTTCTGACGTATCTCCTTGGTCTGTCCTTCCATCATGTGCAGGCCTGAGAGAACCACCAGGTCTGGATGAAACTCTTCTAAGCTGGACACAAAAACTTCAAGCATGTTCATGGCCCCATTCGATAGATCATGGGAGAAGATGAAGCGATTGGCACTTGGGGCTCTTACACTTCCCCACTCTTCACCTACAAAATGGCCCATAAACACACATGGAATTTCTGAATTAATTACAGATGTTATCGATTATTTTTGTTCATATGGTTAACAGTAGAATGAACCTTCTTCATTGTAGCAAGGTTTATTTTTCTCCACTTCTAACTTATAACATTATTTCCTGGACAGAATCACTTTTTTATATGTGGGTGGGCAAAGTATGAAACACAGGCCAATTCTATAGCCTGTGGGACATAGAAAGGGTTAGTAATATTTTGCTGGTGCCCTCAAGTACACTCTAGGGCAGGCATGGGTCTAACTTCAGCCCTCCAGGTGGTTTGGACTTCAACTCCCATAATTCTTAACAGCCTCACGTTCCAAAAATGCTATAAAAATATTCAAAAGACTACATGGAGGGGGAATTTCCATTACATTTTGCAAGCCCCAGGAAAAGCCATTTTTGAAAATCAAGACATGGTAAAATGCCCCCATGTGCCAAGAAGTGTTTGGAGGTTTTTATTTTCTTTGTGAGAGCTGGTGTGGCCCTCCAAGGTCTCCCAGGGGTTAATGCTCCCCCTTAGCCTTCCAGCTGCTCATTCCTTTAGGACTAAAGGATTCTAAAGCACTGTCAAAACTATTGCCTCAGAGCAATCTACTGTAGCACCAAGGTGATCTCTTCTCTGCAAAACCTCTTGCTCTACACCCCCCTTTCTCCATATGCTTCTCTCAGTTTTGTTATCTAAGCCAGTCCAAGTGTTTGCTATTGATAAGGCTACAACCCCAGTCTGTATACCAGAATAAGAAAGACAGATAGGCACTGCAGACTAATTCAGTTTGAGAAGTCAGCCATAGCAGAACACTTGATGAACCAACCTGGATGCAGCATATTATTTGAGAACAAAGAAATGCTGGACCACCTTAACAACTATCATGTCAGACGACACAGAGATGCCACTGAAATCCACAAGCATGTGGACAATTTCAACAGAAAGGAGGAAACCATGAAAATGAACAAAATCTGGCTACCAGTATTAACAAACTCTAAAATCAGAACAGTAAATAAAGAGCAACATCTAAACATTCCAGACAAGAATCAATCATGGCCAGCTAACACCTCCCAATGAAGAATTTCCCCCAGGCAGAAACCATCCAAGCATTGAAGCTGCAACGCCATTCAATGCTAATCAAAGTGGCCATTTGCAACATTCACACCTGCCTCAAGCAGATAAGAGTTCTTTCTCCCACCCTAGACATTCCACAAATATATATATATACCCCACTAGCACAGTTTCCAGCAGATCCCTCAACCTCTGAGGATGCCTGCCATAGTTGTGGGCAAAACAACAGGAGATAATGCTTCTGGAACATGGTCATACAGCCCGCAAAACTCACAGCAACCCAGTGCTTCTGACCATGAAAGCCTTCGACAACAGAAAGACAGATAGCTTGAAACAAGGATGCCTCACAATTCTGCAGTCTGGTTTTACTGAATGAAACCAGGATGTGTGCAACTTAACACATTTGCACACGATCCTATTTAAAATGAATAGGCAAGAAGTGTTCCACTCCATTACCACTCTCTTCAGATTTAACATGTAAAGAGCTTGCCTTTAGATACAGGTCATTAATTCTTCATGACCTCGGCAGGATCTGTGACAGAAGTGATGATGGAAAGGGTTGGCTAGTGATTTTCAGTCAATTTCAGCACAAAATGCACGAAGAAAGACAGAGATGAAGTACAATGACTCTGGAATACCTGTATTTTCATATACGTAACAAGAACAACAACAACAACAACAACAACAACAACTACTACTACTACTACTTTATTTTTGGGACTCGGGGCAGCTTACATAGGGATAAGCCCAAGCAAACATAGTTAAAATATAACACATTAAAATTCATAAAAACAGTGGCAAAACCAAAATAAAACAAACAACAGCATAACACAGTATAAAAACAACCATCAAGTAGACAACCAGTACCTGAAATAGCAAAACAGTTCTGGGCTTAGGTGGGGTGGGGGTCAGTACAAATCAGTTGAGGGCAGGGCAGATAGATAAAGTGCAAGTGTGAGATGACAAAGTTGGGGATAAGGGCGATATGAGGCGAAACACTAAGACTCTGGGTAGGAAATAGTAGTAAAGTGCAGGGACTGGATTTTGGGTCATAACTGGGAGCTGGAATTTCTGAGGAAATAATATATCTTGAAGATAGGTAATTTGAGACCAAATACTTTAAATAATTTTGGGCATGAAACTAAGTTTGTGTATAGTGAGCTATCAAAAAGCAAAGGTGCCATTATTTTAGTTACCCAGGTGGACAATTTTGTGTTTTAAATTTCTGAATAAGGGATGCTAAAACTGTCCAGGAACTCTACCCACAGTACTGTACAGGCATTACAGCAGTTATCTTTATAATTATTATAGAAAAGTAGCCTAGTATTATTATCATTATTATTCATTTGTTTATTTTAATGCATTTGTTTATTTATGTATATGTATATGTATGCAGACATGCCGGCCACATCACCTTGGAGGTGTCTACGGACAACGTCGGCTATTTGGCTTAAAAATGGAGATGAGCACCACACCCCAGAGTCGAACACGACTAGACTTAATGTCAGGGGGAAACCTTTACCTATATGTATACTTGGCATTGAATTGTTGCCTTTGTAAAGCTGCCCCGAGTCCCTTTAGGGGTTAGAAGGGTGGGGTACAAATTTAGCAAATATATATATAATCACCATCATTCCCATATTATTTCAGCTTCGGCTGAGAGATATTGCCTGCTTAGTGGATTCACAATAACAGAATAGAATAACAACTTTTTTATCAATAGCCAACTCCTTCTTGTGCTCAAACCTGCACTGCACCAACCATCACAATATGCTATTTAATATAGCAACAGGAAGGAAGGCTGTTTTTATTCATGGGTCATACCTGCTTGATATTCCAAAATAAGATGAAATTCATCAATTTCCTGCATTGATTCCGGAGGGACAATTACATTTTCATCAAGCAGCTCGTGCAGCTTAGGACCAATTGGGCCACACAGCAAAACCTAAAAGCCAAGAAATTGACAGCAGCTTATAGTTAATTTTTCTATGCAGGAAAATGGAGCCTTCTTCCCCTCTGCCCTGAATCTGCCATTCTATAAAACATTCACAATTCTTTTTTGTGGTGTCTGTGAAAATCACACATATGGGATTTTCCTGCACATGCACAACAAAATCCTGTATGTGCGAATTTCACAGATCACCACTCGAAGAAACACAGTTACAGATAAGCAACTATTCCTTATTCCCTCTCCTCTTAGATAACTTCTACATGCAGGACATATCTATTTCTCAGAACATTTCACGTTAGAATACTTATGAGTAAGAAGCTTTAGGAAACTCTCAAAGCCTTTTTGAAGGGATATCTGAGAAAAGGAAAATATGATATATTCTCTTACTGGCCAGCACAATAAAAACAGGACATCAGCTGACATCTGAAGGCAGATTTCTTATTTTTTAAAAAGTTAGTCCTAAGTATTCAGCACCACCTCTTCTCTGTTTGCAACAGGAGCCATCTTAAATTTGTCATCGACACAAACCTGCAGAAATCTACTGACATAGTTAGTCCATTACTGTTTATGCTGTTCTGAAACTTGGTAAAATGTCACACTGTTGGATTTTTTTTAATGACAAGTGCATCTTTTTCAAACTACTTTCTGACTAGGAAGCCAGAAAGATACCCACTCTCAAAAGAGTTAGTGGAAGGTTAATTAAGGACCTGTCTACTCACATTTGTTCACTCAAGGCAGCTTCACACATTGCCTTACTTTGCTGCAGCTGCTCTTTTCTTCAGCATCTCCTGCTTCCCACAGCCTGAGGGCTATTTTATTTTTTTATTAGAGTAATACACTTCATACTTACATGCATATTCTAACTAGAAATGTTGAGAGTCCATAGCAGCTACGGTGTCATAAAGGAACATGCATAAGTGCCACTGTCTATGCTTTTTTATATATTTCATGCATTATTCCACACTACTTTGCCAGTGTACACAGCTCATTGCCTTGCAAAAACATAATCTGAAAAAAGCGGAAGAGTGTCTCATGAGATATCTACAAACACATGTACGCTATCATAGGTTTGTGTCATTGGCGGGATGTTGACTGCTTTGTTGAAAAACCCTCCTGGATATACCGGTATACTGGATACAAGGAGGAAACTGGCCAGACACTATGTCCAGGGAAAACCAAGTAGATGCCCAAGTATATAGATAAACTGGGGAAGCCTACAAATTGGATACCTACCTTTAGGTCAGGATTATTCGCAAGTTTCTGGCCAATGAGAGCAGCATTTCCTCCCACATAAAACTGCAAGACAAGCACATGTTTAAGCAGCAATTCCAACCTAAGTGACAGAACTTTATGATTTCACAAAGCTTGATATCTTCACTACTCCAAATATACAATGTAGTTCTTTGTGCAATAACATGAGTTCCTAGATTTAGCTGTGTGTATGCACCTTTCCACATGCTCCAATGAAGCAAGAGGCTATGCTGATGGCAGCTACCAGGCTCTCCCATGTTAAGAGTTTCTGAGGCCAGACTAAATGTGCCAAACAGCTACTGGGCAGCAGTACTGGGAAGCCAAGATAACTAAACCGAGATTATGATAATGTGGACATATGACAAGACATGACTTACTAGAAAAGACAACAGTAAAAGAGGGAGACGACACTGCAGATGGATAGAATCAATCACAGCCCTGAGACAGAAAGCCCTGAGTGGGGCTGTTAGCAAGAAGGACACATGGAGGTTTCTCATTCACGAGGTTACAATAAAAATCCATGTTGTCTTGATAGCAGTCAATAACAACAAATGTCAAATATGGCTGTTCTTTTTGGCCATCAGCTAGTGAGTTTTCTTCTTGTTTTCCTTCTCCCAGATAAGTAGCACATTTTTGATGCTAACACTGGTAGCAAACATCTCACATCGAACCACGGCCAATGGCTCTCTCCTCACAAACTCAGGAGTCCAGGTCTCTGAGTAAATGCAGCGCCCAAACACGAATCAAGGAACATGAAAGGCACTGCAGACTAATTCAGCCTGAGAAGTTAGCCATCGCAGAGCACCTGAAGAACCAACCTGGACAGAGTATATTATCTGAAAACACAGAAATGATGGACCACTCGAACTACCACCATGTCACAGAGAAGCCACTGAAATCCACAAGCATGTGGGCTATTTCAACAGAAAGGAGGAAACCATTAAAATAAACAAAATCTGGCTACCAGTATTAACAAACTCTAAAATCAGGACAATAAATAAAGAGCCATACTCAAAAACAGGAGAATTCCAGACAAAAATAAATCAGGGCCAGCTAATACCTCCCAAAGGATTCCCCCAAGCAGCAATCAGCCAGGCTTTGGAGCTGCAAGGCCATTAAATGCTAATCAAGCTGGCCAATTGCAACATTCACACTTGCCTCAAGCAGACAAGAAGTCTTTCTCCTACCCTGGACATAAATCTCACTTGCCTAGTTTCCAATACACCTCACAACCTCTGAGGATACCTGCCATAGATGTGGGCAAAATGTCAGGAGATAATGCTTCTGGAACATGGCCATATAGCCCAGAAAACTCACAACAACCCATTATACTATTAAATTCTCCAATTTAAGTAGAAAAGAGAGGTTCCATAAAAATAAGAAATGTATGAAAACCGAGATAAGCTTCATACAGTTTAAGCACAATGCCTTGCAGCTCCCAAAGGTAAGGTAAACAGAAGCATGATAAAATGAGGGCCTTAAAGTTATTGATCAAATTTAAAATTAAGGTTAGTCTGAAGGTAAACATATTAGAAAGGATGACAAAATAAGCCATCCATTCAAAAGGGATTTAGAGCTTTTTGTGCCATGGAGATGACTAAGTTGTATAGTTCTGCACAAACATACATACATAAACAGAGTCAGAAGAGTCATTCTCAATATCAGCACCAAAAACCAGTTGTTCAAGAAACACTGGCTTTAAGTGGCCTTGAAAAACTGGCCTGTGTTACTTTTCAGTATTTGGGGAGGTTTCACATTTTCGTTCTTGAAGCCACACACACACTGCTGCCAGCAGCTTTAAATAATTCAATCAACTTTCCATTGTGTTTGAAATATACAATGATACTATTTATTAATGCTTCTATTTTTTAAAAAATATCTGTATATAGATCAGGCTTTAGTCACAAAATGAAAAAAGGACATACAACTTAATGAAAGATTAAAAAAACTGCTAAGGAGCTTGACACAAATTATTTTATGTGGCTTAAGTTTTACAGGACAACATTCATCTTTATCAGATTTTGATTCATGTATCAGATGAAACAGTGAATCTTACAAATATCAGTCTTAGGCTCATTTCCTCCACCCCACTTCCTCTCTCCTCCCTGCTGGGAAAACAGTAATTAAACAGCAGACCAGATAATTATTTGAACACAAAATCTTTTCCGAGATGGGGAGATGAAATCTAGCGCTTCAATCTCTCTCGGCAAGAGGAGATCCTGCATTCAGATAATCACAAGACCTACCATTTTGTGACTAAATTTTAGTCATTTATTGTTTCCTGCAGTGAGAGCTGCAAAAAGCCAACCAATATGCATGCATAACAAATACTACATTTGCTTGGGTGACAACATATTATTTCTTTTTCGTGCCACAAGATCAAGTCTGTTTCTGTTTTATTAACTTTCATGCCAAAATAAAAATATTTTGCATCTACACAGTTCATATCCAAACATTTTGTGCATATCAAGTGGGAACAATTTCAATAAAATACAATTCAATTCTAATAGGAAAAAAAAGTCAGAAATGATTTTCTTCTTGAAGACACTATATGTCACAGAGTTTTGATGGATTTGCTCTCAAGTAAACAATATTTGCCCTCAAGTAAACAACGGAATACGGATTACGATATTGGTTATGATTCTATGATGTGACGGAGCGGATTATTTAGTGTAACTAGATTATAGTGTATTATTGTTGTATTGATTCCCTGTTTTGCCCTTTTTGTAAACTGTTTTTATATGTTGTGCACCGCCGCGAGTCGCCCTAGGGCTGAGAGCGGCGGTCAATAAATGCAGTAAATAAATAAAATAAATAAATAAATATACCTGTGCTCCAGGATCCTTTGAAGCAGTCTGTGCAATTTGATGGAAGGAATCAGAATCACTGAAGAAGCGCTCAGCTGCGGCTCCCTTCTCCATGAAATAGATGAAGGCTTCCTTCAAATCTGTTCCGGAATGTAAGACTGAATGGTCTTGTCCTTTCCCTGGATCTAGGCCAAGGGCCTGCAACAACTTCACACCAGAAAGGACCACATCTACACAGGCATTGACCCTGCAAAAAGTAAATTTAAACATATAGTTAGGAGAGTCTCTTTAAGATGTACTTCTATATGGATTTTTTTTATAACAACACAAGACCGGTATTCTGTCTAGAATTTGATTGAAGACACCAAGGAGTCATATGGTTACTTCTTACTGAATGGGAGTGTAACCAATGCAAATGTATTCTGAAGTTAAACGCTTCTTTAGGTAAGTATGTATAGGTTTGCAGCATTCATGTGGTTTAAAGATCACATTGATTTAATTGTGGGTGGTGTTTCCATTTTCTGTAGTAGATTAATACCTGGAGGCTAAAAATGTTCTGAAACTAGAGTATGAACAAATGAACTCAATACACTTACTTCTGAGTAAAGATTACAGTATTGTGCTGCAAATCTTAGTTGTAAAGGCACTCTTGCATGAATTTAGTAAATTTAATTGAAATTCTATTGCTAATGTTTGTGTGCAGGGATTTATCAGAAAGCAAAGGTAATCTGTGTGTCATTGCTTTGCCTTCCATATTTACCTGACCAAGAAACTACTATTCAAATCCATCACATCAAGAAATTGCTGCAGTGAGATATTCAGTTGATATAGGAGTCTGTTTACAGCACACACATAGTACAGTCACTTGGAAGTACAGTACAGTATAGGACGGTTTTAAGTATAATTTGGTTAACATGCAACCAATAAGCAATGTACCTGTATGCTAAATACATGAACTCTGTAATTAAATTAACTTTTAACGAAGACTACTGATTTTTGGTCTCTTGAGAGCATGATTTAAAAGAAAAATATTTTATGCGAGAATAGATATATTTTGGCAAATGAAATAACACTTCTGAAGATCTGATATATATATATATAATGCATTGGCATATCTTTGTTCCTAACAGTTCAAAGAGATAACTAGGGTTATCTGTTGACCAGACAATGCATAAAAGCAATCTATGAAATAATACCACACAACTACTCACCCTACAGCAACACGATTCCACTGTTTGGCTGGTCTGATGATAAGTGCATCCCAGGCAGCTGCCATGCTGCTCTCTGCGGATGGACCTTCATCCTGAAGGTGGCACAAGAAGAAGCCAGAGAAATACTCCAGTACTGAGTCAGGGAGCTCAGGGTCTAACAAGAAGACGTAGCCGGTTGCAAGGGCCAGCAGGGCCACACATACTGACTTGTGCCACATATTCACGTCCAGAAGCCAAGACTACGCGAGAGCGATTTATACGCCGCTTTTCTCTCCTCTTGCCAGGAAACTGCTTCTTCCACAATCACCACCTTCATATATTACTGCTCACAGCCTATTCATAAATAGACACAGATGTCAGTCTTTGTGCAGCAACCACAGAATCATAATCAGATCTTTCTTGCTTCCTGGTCCTTTCTTGGTTCCATTCCCTCACCTTCCTGCTCACCTTCCCCTTTTTGTATCCTTGCCTTTTCAGACTCTACTGTGTTGCAGCATTGCACAGCATTTATTCAATCATTAACACTGGAACAATATTTTTAAAAAGTAGTGGGAGGGAATGCAAAGCTGCTCAGAAAACTGGGTTGGAGTGGGAAGAGGCCTTCCTCCTCTACATGCAGGGTTGCCTCCGAAATATATACAATCTTTAACAGCTAACAGTATTTATGATGATTATTTTAAGGTGTAGCAATGCATTTGCTCAATGTGTCAAAACACTGAGGTGTTGCAAAACTCACCAAGTTTCTCTTGTCCTTTTGTAACATTCCTCTTCTATTGAAATCCTTTTTGTCATCTTAAGGGTGTATATATTTTGGGAAGAAATGAAAAACAAAGTATTCATGAATTAGAAGCTATTTAAGGGTATACACATGTTTGACAAAAATTGCTATATATAAATGCACACACACACACACACATTCCAGAATTAGAAACTGTTAAAAGGTGTATGTGTTTGTCTATCTATCTATCTATTTCGGGGGGTGGGGACTTATAAACTGTTAATGGTACATACTTTCTAAAACTCTTTAG